TTTTTTTTTTTTTTTATAAATGTTTTTATTGTTTTTTCTTGTTGAAACTTGGAACTAAACCGGTTCCCCAATATTTTGACACAAAAAAAATTAGGTTAATATCTGACGGTTTGATATTTCTGGTCAAGTGGATGATTGCGCCGTGGAAGGTTTAATGCATATTTTTTCGGTTTTAACTTCTCTCTCTCTCTCCCCTCAAAAAAAAAAAAAAAACTTCTCTCTCTCTCTTATTTTTTGCTTGGATTAAATGCTTTTTAGTGAAGGTAATTTCACTTTTAGTCCCAAATTATATTATTTTTACTATGAACAAAAAAAAACTTTTTTTTTATTAAATTTAGTTTCTGAATTTTTGTTGATATTTATTTTTAGTCTTTGAACTTTTCTTCTTGTTAACATTCCCCGGTAACACTTCAGTCCTTGACATCAAGATTTTTTTTTTTTTTTTCTATGGAAGAAAAGTTTAGGGTTAGAATCAAATAAGATTTGTTCAGGATTAAAATTAACGATTTCAGATACTAAAAAGTAAAAAACAATTTTTTCTGCGCTGTAATCAGTTAGAGTTTGCGGTGGAATTAAATTTTGTAAATTAATGCAAAGAGAAGTGCGATAGTAGTTTTACGTGTTACGTCAAATTAAAAGCATTTTCCCCGACAACGTACCACAAAGTTCTAAATATAATATTTATTGTTGCTAATTTGGGTAATCTGATTAATGTGGCCTAACTACGGAAGTATTGAAAATAGCAAGGTGTTAATAATGTCCACAACATTTGTTATATCATACGGAGCTATATTTATTAGTTGGTCATAAAATTCTGCAATGATCAATAAATTTCAAATTTCAAAAGATTTCATTATATATGGTTCATTGGTTGGGATTACTTGACATTAGGTGTGTTAAGATTAGTAAAATTGCATATTTAATACAATTTTTTTAGTGTAAATTTAACTAATTAAATTAGTAAAATTATATATTTAATACATTATTATAATATAAATTTATCTAATTAAACTTGTAAATTTGATTATCAAGCATACAAAATTTTATATCATTTTTAATTTATTTTGATGGTTTATCACATCACTTTAATATGTTATCATAATAAAAATGTATGTACAAATTCATTGTTATAATATCATATAAGGCTAAATTATTTATAATTTGATTTAATAATATATATAATATTACATAATTTAATAATATTAAATTTATATTTTATAAAAAGTTATTGAAAGGATAATTTTATTAATTTTGACATAATATCAAAGACTCTTAATTGTTGTGTAATACACGTGTTTTTGCATTTAATGTGTTTTTTCTTACACATTATTTTTTACTTCTTGTACTTCTACCATTTATGATATTATAGTAGTTTAAAATATTATTTTATAAAATCTTGAGTGTAGACATTTTTCTTAGTAAGAAGCTAAGTTTGATATATTGTAATGTTGCATGTCATTTAATTAATATCATGCCATGAATAAAAATTAGATAAAAGATAAATATATATCCACAATACAATTGTTAGGTTTTTTATTTTTTGTGGTAACGTGAGCCAATCAGAAAACAAAGAGGAAAATACAAAATTATGCCTCAAGAAAGACATGATAAAAATCACCTTGAAGAATATCCTTTAAATCTATGAGAGATTGATTAAGAACAATCAAATGACTACTAGCAAGGGGTCCTTTCTTTGTGAGAATTTCCACTCTTATTATCTTCCCTCAAGGTGTGCAAAAACTCACCTTCTAGTCTTTTTTAGCAAAATCCTTAATGGATTCAATAAGGATAGCATATGCGTGAAAAAGGATAATAGGTTGTGTAATAAGTTGAAGCACATGTAGGAAATCTGAAATACACATTACATCCTTATAGTGGAGCTCCTAGGCTAAAATCTAGAGCTGTCAAAGTGGGCTCTAGCCCGTGGGTCAACCCGGCCCACCTTGAAAACGGGCCGGGACGGGCCAAAAAAATGAAAAAATTTATGATGGGTCAAAAAATATGACCCGGCCCACTTTCAACCCGGCCCACCCGGGTTGAACCCGTGGTGGGCCGGGCAGCCCACCTGACCCACTTACCAACCCATCCCCTAAACTCACTAACAACCCACTAACAACTTACTTAACTATTTATTATTATATATGCATTATTTTAATAAGATATCATTTTTTTATAGATAAAGATAAAATCAATGTTAAACAATATGAAATTACTATAAATTTATCTATCCAAACCTCTAATAAAATTTAATATTGATGAATAATCACTCTCATGAAAGATTTTTTATTTTTTTTGTTTTAATTTTTTAAAGTTGCACACTTATTAATTTAATTTTAATGTTGTATCCATGATACTTAGTTTAATAATTTTTACTTTAGATTAAATATTATTTTATATTGAAATTTATTTTAAATTATAATTTTTTTTAAAAAATCAGGTGGGTTGGTGGGTGGCCCGTTTAGCCCACCAACCCGTGGTGGGCCGGGCCGGGCTAGCCGGGTCGGGTTAGCCCACTTAAAAAGTGGGTTGAGGTGGGTCGGGCCAAACGGGCCGGACTGGCCCGTTTTGACAGCTCTACTAAAATAAAAACCTGAAGGAAGACAGTCAATTCAGCATATAGAATATTAGAATGGTCAATATCCCTATAAAATCATTTAACCTAGCGATCATGAGAGTTACGAATAAGCCCCCAAAAGCCAGCTGATCCAGGATTCCCCCAACAACTACCACTAATATGCAATGTAACTTGGTCCCCAACTGCATGAATGCAAGAGACTCATCTCTCTTCTCTTGGATCTTCTTGGGTGTGTCCATTGAAGCATTCAAAGCTTTACGAACTTCATCCCACAGCTGGGTGATCTTATTCATTATTACCATTGGAGAAAGTCTTCCACAATGGAAAATGGTTGCATTCCTCACCTTTTACATCTCCTAAAGAACAATGAGGACCGATCTTTTTGTCAACTGAACTTGATAGCGAACCCACACTAAAATAGTAGCATCCGTGCAGCTCAAAGCAACCATACCAACAAAAAGCAGGCGCCACACCCTGTCAACCTCCAAAAATATGGCACATGTTGTCCATTTCCAAACCACACTGAGGGCAAGTGGTAGTGGAAATAACATGTCATCATTTCAAGAAGGCACGAGTAGGAAGAGCCTCCATCCCCACTTGCGAAAGAAAGAACTTCATGTTCTCTAGGAGATCCAACTTCCAATATTCCAAGACCAAGACTCCTTACTACAAGGTATGATTCTTCAGTTGTCGATCATAACCTGGCTTCAAAGAGCAAAATCTCAGATAAGTCACCTTTCCATACAACCAGGTCAAGAGTAGCATGGTGAAACATTACTCTTATTTGTAGAATTCTATCTTGAACATGAGGGGGATAGTTGTGGCTAACTGATCTAGATTCCAAGCATCCTTTGATACAAGATTTTGCACCATCATATCCTTATCATGCAAATGCATGTACGAAACTTCCAAAGATAGTTGAGAACCATCTAGCCAAATGTCAAACCAAAAGTTACATCCGCCATTACCCAATTGAAGGCGAAACCCATCATTGACATAAGCATAAACGTGTTTAAGCCAAGTAACTAAATGAGATCTTCGTTGATCCAAAATGTCATGTAAGTACTCACCTAAGTATTTGAATTTAAAGACTTGCACCTATAACTTGTTAGGGTGATGGAGAATGTCCCAAACAAGTTTATAGAGCAAAGCAATATTTTTCCAACAAGTCACACAAACACCAAGGCCCTCATCCTTCCTCCTTTTGATAACCTTATCCCACTTCACCAAGCTAAGCTTTTCGTCCATATTGCCACTCTAGATAAAATGTCACCCTAACAAGTCAAATTTGTCACAAAATTGTTGGGGAATCCATTGCATTTGCATGGTGTATGTTGGGATAGAGGTCACAACAGAGTTCACTAAAGTGACTCTACTAGCCCTGTTCATATACTTCCTTTTTCAGGATGCAAGACGATGCTAAACTTTCTCCACCAAGGGCTCAAAGAGCTCATTCATTACTCTACCATGAACCATGCTATGCTCGAAATACTTACCCAAGTTGCTAGTGAAATTAATGTGACTAATATTGGATATCTTATTTCTCCTTCTCAAAGTAATACCTCTGGAGGCCAAAGCTTTAAATCTCACAAAACTGATTCAAAATTTCAGTCACCATTCTCACCTTTGAGGACTTTGCTTTGGTGAAAAGAAGAACATATCATCTGCAAAGAAAAGTTGAGAGAGCTTAGGACCCTCTCTTCCAACTTGAATGGGTTGCCAAGTACCACTATCCATCGCTTCTTTAATCACATATCCCAACTTCTCCACGCATAGAACAAAGAGATAAGGAGAAAGTGAGTCTTCTTGCCGAAGACCCTGTTTAGGAATGAACGACTCCACTCGTTTCTCGCTCCAAAGTAAATAGAGGGAAGTGGAGGTAACACCATGCAAGACAAGAGACACAATTTTGTTTGGGAAGCCAAAGTCACTCAACACCCTATGGAGGAAGCCCCAGTCCAGTCTATCATAAGATTTCTCTAAGTTGAGTTTAAAGATAACATCTTTGTCTTTCTTTCAAGATTTATTCATACTATGAATGACTTCTTGGAGAATGATAACATTACTTGTAGTGCCCCTACCTAGTATAAAGCTACTTTGCATGGGGCTCACCAAGTCATTCAACAACGGCCTCAGACGATGAACAAGAACTTTAGAGATTAATTTATGAAGCACATTACATAAGCTAATGGGCCTAAAGTCCTTGAAATGCTTTGGGTTGTCATGTTTCTTAATATGAACAATCATAGTCTCAACTGCCTTGGGATCAAAAGTGTTTGTCTCAAACCATGAAGGCCAGGGCCTTATAAGATTTCATACCCATGGGCACTATAAACACCTCTTTCTTGGTAACAACTTTGTCTAGCCTAGCCACATCTTCCGTTGCCAAGGTGGCCATAGGGGAAGATAGAGAAAAAGGATGTGTGATCACCATTTCACCAAACAAGCTCCTAAAGAAATTTACAACCTTTTGTTGAAAAGTCTCTTCTATATATACACCATATGCCAAATGGAAGAAATAGACCATGAATTTTGTTATTCTTCCTTTGCACAATTGCCTGGTTATGAAAACATGTAGTATTCTTACTACCTAGCTTGATCCATTGCTCATGGTACTTTTGAAACCAAAGAGTTTCCTCCTGAAAAAGGACAAGCTCATACTCCTTATATAGTTGCTAGTATAGAAGCCAGGCTTTGAGGGAATCAACATGCTCTACGTATCTTTCCAAGCCTTGGATGTGAGCTTGGAGCTCCCTTTTATGCTTACCAATATGACCAAACACCTCGTTATTAAAAATTAGAGAAAATCCTTTTGAACATTCTCCAAAGAAGTGATGACATCATCCCTAACTCAAAACCATGCATTTCGTGGGAAGACCAAGTCGCTTCAAACCAAAGGGATCTCTCACCCCTAGCCTGCGGGAGCCTTCCACATCACAAAATCAATAGGTTATGGTTAGAATGAGCTCGAGAGAAGATCTCCATAATGGCTTTCAGAAATCGCATTTGCCACACAATATCACACATAGCTTTATGACGTTTATGCATCTATATTGACAGCCAGGACCTTGTCTATATAAATGATCGGCTTAATCAAGGTCAACCAATGATAAACTTTGAGAGACTTTTTTTAGACTTTTTTTTTTAATATATGGTCTTTTTGATTTTAAAAATTAATAATAAATAATCTTTTATTACTTGTCAGAATTGATTAAATCAAGATTGTAGGCACCCACAAAGCCGTACTGCCGCACCTGAAAATCCGAAATTGAAATTGCAGTAGCAAAGTTTGACACTATTAATTGTGGTGGACAAAGCTAATTTGCATACCTACTTTCTCGTTCCTTCGCAAATGAGTTTCCTAAATATAATATTATATTAGTTTGTAAAGCCTATATAAAGGCCATATGTTGTATTGTTTTATTATCATGTTAGGAAATGAAATATATTAAGTGAAGAATTCAGTTTTTCCTCCTCTGTTCCTTTCGTTGTGCGTGAGTTATTTTAAAGTTATTATGTCCCACTGATATCAAATTGGTATCAGAGCTGGTTAGATCCAGCATTGGTTTTGTGAGTTTGTGAAAAGATTTAAATTTTTTTTTTGAGTGTGTGAGGAACAAGAGAGTTCTCACTTTATCAAAATCTTCAGAGTCTATTTGAGAGAAAAAGATGACCACAAACTACAATATTGTTTGGTCCGGTCCCAAATTAGATGGGAAACTAGATTACAATTATTGGGCATTATTGATGTCCACCCATTTGAAAGCTCACAATATTTGGAGCTTTATTGAACCAGGCTTACAACAAGGAGCTGATGATGCAACTCAAAGGAAAGGACCAGTTGGCGCTATCACAAATTCATCAAGGTGTAGATTATTCAATTTTTGGCAAAATAGCAAATGCCAAAACAACCAAAGAAGCGTGGGACATTTTGAAGCTATCATACAAAGGAGTAGAGAAAGCTCAGAAATCTAAACTGCAATCCATGTGTCGAGAATATGAAAGATATGAAATGTCCAGTTCAGAAATAGTGGAACAATATTTTTCACGGGTAACAAATCTTGTCAATAAGATGAGGGTGTATGGAGAAGACATCCCTGAAAGCAAGGTGGTGGAGAAAATTCTACACACCATGCCGATGAAGTTTGATCATGTGGTAACTACAATAATTAAGTCCCACGACATAGACATCATGACAGTTGCAGAATTGCAAGGTAGCATTGAAAGCCATGTGAGCAGAATCTTGGAGAAATCTGAAAAAGCAAATGAAGAAGCATTGAAAAGCTAGAAGAATTTTACCAACATAGCAGAACCCAGCCGAAGTGAAGACAGTAGAGGTCGTGAAGGTGGAAATATAAATTTCAGAGGTAGAGGTCGTGATAGTTTCAGAGGAAGAGGTCGTTGTAATTTTAATCAAAAATGGAGAGACAACAATTTCAGGCCACCTAATCAAGGAAGAGGTGGACACAATGTCAGATCTACCAATCGTGGAAGAGGAAGAGGCAGCTGCACCAATCAGGAGAGGACAAATTTCAATTGCTATCACTGTGGAAAGTTCGGGCACAGAGCTGCAAATTGTAGATTCAAACAACAAGCAAATATAGCAGAAAATCAATATGAGCATACTGGTGAGGGTTTTGATAATCTACAAACCTTACTTCTAGCAGCAAATAATTTTTCAGGCGATGGAGATATTTGGTACCTAGATACTGGCTGCAGCAACCACATGTGTGGGAAAAAGGAGTTATTTTTCTCACTAGATGAAATGGTAAAATCTACTATGAAATTCAGAAATAACTCTAACATTCCAATTTTGGGAAAAGGTCGAGTTGCAATTAGATTGAAGGACGGTTCTCAAAATTTCATCTCTGATGTTTTCTATGCTCCTGGTCTTCATCATAACCTGTTGAGCATGGGACAATTATCAAAAAAAGGCTACAACATGCAGATTCATGATGGCTACTGTATGTTGATTGACAAAAATAGGAGATTCATTGCCAAGGTAAAAATGACTCCTAATCGACTATTCCCTTTGAATGTTCAACACGATAAAATTCCTTGCTTGAGTTCCATTATACAAAATGATGATTGGCTGTGGCACATGCGTTTTGGACATTATCACTTTTCTAGATTAAATTTTTTATCTAGAAAAGAGTATGTATCTGGTTTGCCTGTTATAAACATTCCTGAAGGTATATGTGAAACTTGTGAAATTGGAAAGAAACACAGAGAATCCTTTCCAACTGGAAAGTCCTGGAGAGCAAGAAAGCCATTGGAGATTGTGCATTCAGATTTATGCATGGTTGAGATACCATCACATGGCGGTAGCAGGTATTTCATTACTTTTATTGATGATTTTAGCAGAAAAGCTTGGGTGTATTTTTTGAAACAGAAATCAGAAGCTTGTGATACCTTTAAGTCATTTAAGGCATTTGTGGAGAAACAAAGTGGTTGCAAGATTAAAGCATTGAGGACAGATAAAGGTCAAGAATACCTTGCCTGTGCAGATTTCTTTGACCACCATGGAATTCAGCATCAAATGACAACCAGATACACTCCTCAACAAAATGGAGTAGCAGAAAGGAAGAACAGAACAATCATGGATATGGTGAGATGCATGCTAAAGGCAAAACAAATGCCTAGAGAATTCTGGGCAGAAGCAGTTTCTACTGCTGTGTATATTTTGAACAGGTGTCCAACAAAGAGTGTTTGTGATAAAACACCAGAAGAAGTTTGGAGTGGAAGGAAGCCCTTAATCTGGCATCTTAGAACTTTTGGGTGTATAACATATGCTCATGTACCAGATCAACTCAGAAAGAAACTTGATGACAAAGGAGAGAAGTGCATCTTCATTGGTTACAACACCAACTCAAAGGCGTATAAGCTTAATTTACAATCCAGTGACAAAAAAGGTAATTATCAGCAGAGATGTGACCATTGATGAAGAAGGAATGTGGGATTGGTCTTTCAAAGCCCAAAAGGAGCCTGCAGTAAACCCAGAAAACTATGAAGAAGAGAATGGACATATAAATCCAACACCTGATGAGCCAGAAACATCAAGCAGACCACAAAGGCAAAGGAGACTACCAACCAGATTGGACGATTATGTTGTGGGTAATGATAATGACCCATCTGATGAAGAAATTATCAATTTTGCCTTATTTGCAGATTGTGAGCCTGTAACTTTTGAAGAAGCTTCAAATAATCAACATTGGAGAAAAGCAATGGATGAAGAAATTCATGCCATTGAGAAGAATCAAACATGGGAGCTGACAGACTTACCAGCAGACAAAAGGCCAATTGGAGTAAAATGGGTGTACCAAACTAAGTACATGTCCAGTGGAGAAATTCATCGCCTTAAGGCAAGGTTGGTAGAAAAATGGTACAAACAAAAGCTAGTTATTGATTATTTTGAGGTATTTGCTCCTGTAGCAAGATTAGATACAATTCGTATGCTTATCTCTCTATCAGCTCAAAATAATTGGAAAATTCATCAAATGGATGTTAAATCTGCTTTTCTGAATGGCACTTTGGAAGAAGAAGTATATGTTGAGCAGCCTGCAGGATATGAAGTTGAAGAAAAAGAAGATAAAGTCTACAGATTGAAGAAGGCATTGTATGGTTTAAAGCAGGCACCCAGGGCGTGGTATAAGAAGATTGATTCTTACTTTGTGCATAATGGTTTTCAGAGATGCCCATTTGAACACACTTTGTATATCAAATCTGTTGACCTTGACAATATTCTTATTGTGTGCCTCTATGTTGATGATCTAATTTTTACTGGCAACAATCCAAAAATGATTGCAGAATTCAGGGAGGCTATGGTTAAATGTTTTGAGATGACAGATTTGGGCCTAATGTCATACTTTCTTGGCATTGAGGTCATTCAGCAGGATGATGGAATTTTTATATCTCAAAAGAAGTATGCTGCTGACATTTTAAAAAAATTCAAGATGGAGAATTCAAAGCCAATCTCAACACCTGTTGAAGAAAAGTTGAAGCTGAAAAAGGATAGTGATGGAAAAAGAATTAATGCAACATATTACAAGAGCTTGATTGGAAGCCTCAAATATTTGACTGCTACTAGACCAGATATTGTCTTTGGAGTAGGACTGCTGAGCAGATTCATCGAAGAGCCACGTGCATGTCATTTACAAGGAGCAAAGAGAATTCTCAAATATATCAAAGGTACTCTGCCGAGAGAATTTTTTATGCTAACATTAAAGCTGTGAAACTTGTTGGATATACAGATAGTGGTTGGGCAAGAGATGTTGAAACAAGAAAAAGCACGTCAGGGTATTCATTTCATCTAGGAATAGGAGCAGTATCGTGGTCCTCAAAGAAACAACCTCTTGTTGCCCTTTCAACAGCCGAAGCAAAATACATGGCAGCAGCTAGTTGTGCAACGCAGTCAGTATGGTTAAGAAGAATGCTTGAAGTGATGCATCAGAAGCAAGATACTCTCACAGTGATATTTTGTGATAACAAGTCAGCAATTGCATTATGCAGAAATCCAATATTTCATGGACGGTCCAAGCACATAGATAGTCAGTTTCATAAAATCTGAGAACTGGTAGCTGAGAAAGAAGTAGCAATTGAATATTGTCCAACTGAAGAACAAGTTGCAGATATTTTTCAAAGCCTCTAAAGGCTGAGTTATTTTATAAGTTAAAGAAAATGCTTGGAATGATACAAGCTTGATTTAAGGGAGACAATGTCAGAATTGATTAAATCAAGATTGTAGGCACCCACAAAGTCGTACTGCCGCACCTGAAAATTCGAAATTGAAATTGTAGTAGCAAAGTTTGACACCATTAATTGTGGTGGACAAAGCCAATTTGCATACCAACTTTCTCATTCCGCAAATGAGTTTCCTAAATATAATATTATATTAGTTTGTAAAGCCTGTATAAAGGCCATGTTGTATTGTTTTATTATCATGTTAGGAAATGAAATATATTTCAATTTTTCCTCCTCTGTTCCTTTCGTTGTGCGTGAATTATTTTAAAGTTATTATGTCCCACTGATATAATTACTAAACATAAAACTTAACCTTTATATGACCTTAGTATTGAACTCATCCTAAGTTCTTTCAATATGACAAGGAGGTATAACTTGATCACTTTCACCAAATCGGACTCTATATAAAGATAAATAGATATTTTTAATCTCGACTCCATGTTCAAAATAAGTATGAACACTCATCCTTTATTAAATAACACAATTATTGAATCACTTAAACTAATAATTTTTATAATTTTTTTGAGTTTAACCTTTCTATCATAGTGTTGAAATTAATGATATTAGACATATATCCAAAGAAAAAATTTGAACCAATAAAATGGCAATGAAAGTGAAGTACAGTTTATTCTTATCAAGCTAAACTTTGAAAATAAATTTCATTTCATCGAGGTTGTATAATACTTTGAAAATAAATTGCATTTCATCGAGGTTGTATAATATAGTATTATCTAAAAGTGATAAATCTCAAATAAACGTAGAGATGCTCTCCAGGAAGAAGCAGTTTATTGAACAATAAAGAAACATAAAGATTGCTTAGTTTAAAGGAAGCAGCTCAAACAAACGTTGAGTTGCTGAATTTAAGGAAGCATTTTATATGTTTGTTAAACTTCATGCTTCAAAGACTCTTCTTACATTTAAATGTAATTTAAATACTATTGATAATTTAAAAAATTAACTATCCACCGCCTGATCCAACTGCTCAATTTTTTTCTTTATAGTTGATTAAAAAATATTTTTCCTTGGTGATGGGTACATATATATTAACTAAAAGGGTACTAGTTCCTATAATTAAACGCAATAAACTAAACAATATATTATTGTAATTGTACTAGTATAGGGGCCTTTTGGCCATAATAAATAAAAAAATTTAAAAATTATTAATAAATTAATTAAAAAACATTTTACCAAAATAAATTATGTTGGATACGCGGTAGATTGGAAAACGTCACACTATATGACGCGTTGAATACATAAACACAAACAACGTGAAAGCATCAAATATTTGACATTTTGCGTATAAATTTTTAAAACGAAAAACGTTATGATATTTGATGTTTTCTTTATGATTATAGAATCAAGAACCGCTCCTAACCTTTGCAGTACACACTGAATCCCTAACCCTAACCGTGAATAGCATGTGCCTTCAAATAAAAGAGATCGCACCAAAATGCTCTCGTGATAAATTATAATTAATTAAATTAAATTTCCTATCATAAATGCTTTCTAACCTTACTTTCAGCTTTGCCACCCGAGTTCGACGCAGCA